AGATTATTGTGAAAATTGATGAAAATACACAAAGGAAAAAGTGTTGATCCAAAAGCACCTATAGAAAAAGTATCTCTCGTCTTAATAAGTTCCCTACAGATCGATGGCCAGGACATCGCTCTTTCCAATGGTGAAAACTGCAGGTCTATATCTTGTACTCAGCTAAAGTTATTCAGAAAATGGCAACCTGCTTTTTATTTTGAAACGAATATTACTTATGATCTACATGAAATTCATAGCTTGTGTAAGCAACTCTAAAGAGCCAAGACCCTTTTTGAAACTTCTAACATTGAATTTTCCATGGTCTCGATCAATTCGTTCTTATTAGAAATGAATATGTGTGAATTTCGCTGCCATTGTACGGTTGCTTTGGAAGCACGAAAAAGCTTATATCTCAAGTTCTACTCAACCAATTTTGGCAATTTTTTTATCGAATGCTTCACTCAGTCTGCCCCACTTACCATATAAAAATCAGCTTTTTTGGCTTCATAGTTGAGGAGTTATTAAAGAAATAAGAGCAAAACGGCAGGTGTTGGGCGACATCTGTCGCAGAAAATTTCTTTTATATCGAATAATTCTGACTGGATCAAAAGAATTTCTGTGGTAGATAGTAGCTATGAACTTGCTCTCTCTGACAATGTAAATTGATGAAAACTTCGCTATCGATTTCCTCATCAAATCTTGCGATGATGTATAAACATACACTTTGACCGTTTTATGTCACGACAGATTAAATTGAGGCTACTAAAGGCTATTCACAAGCTAAATCAAACTTTTTTTTTTGTTTAATAGAGTGAAGAGCGAGAAATATTTTGGCAAAAAAAAAATTTTCAAAAGTATTCTGGATCAAACAAAAATCTGAAAATAAGACGAACAAGTGGCTATTGTCTCGCTAAATGTCACGACAGATTTCATTATTTTGATTCTTCGATTTCTCATGAACAGTAAGAGATCGATCAATGAATTTTTAATGTTTAGCAGCTAGTTGTGTAGTAAATTTATGGTGAAAGGTGCAACTGTTAATCAAGAATTGTTTCCGAGAAAATCACATTTTACTCAAAAAATGTCACGACAGATTTTTTTTGCATAAAAAAGTCACGACAGATTAAAATAATATATCTTAAGTAGAAACAAGACTTTCTTCACTTGTATTGATTTATCTCAACTCAAAAATGTTTTATAAGTATTTGTGAGGATTGATAGGGCGTCAAATAACCATTAGATCTGAATTTTATTCATTTACTATTATGTAAAACGCCTATAGTTCATAGGAAACGTGAATGATTCCATGCTAATTGATTCTCATCATCTGCAAACCTAAAAAGTCTTTTCATTTTGTTTCATCTTAACTTACCATTATCAAGATGAGAAAAAAACAAAAAGAAAAACAATAATGCTGCATATTGTCAAAAATATCGCCAAAAACTTCAACTAAAACGTTTGTAATCGAAAAATTTGATAAGAAATTTCGAAAAAGAGTGGCAATGAGACAAGCATTATATCGAGCGAAAAAGAAACAACGACCTAGTTTCTTTTTTTTGCAATAAGTATTGATATTGATGATGATTTTATTTCCCATGGTTCTCGCAAAATCATGCTCTAAATAACTTAGTCACACAACGGGCTGCTGAAAAAGTACACCTCTTTAACCATAACAGTTGCACTATACTGTTGTATATGTATTCAAATATGCTAACAAAGTTGTTTTTATGCCTGCGTGATTCTACTTTTCAAAATGATTTGATCGATATAGGAGAATAATATTAAAAAGCTTCACCTAAACAACTCTTTTTTGTCAAGAAGCCAATGACCTTTCAAACACTAATAGATTTCGATTTATTTGCAAACGGAAGACATGACAGTCGGGAAAATACTTGATTCATATACAACAAACTATGCTCTATCCAATGCACATATCCATCCACTTCTCTGTTCACTTTTATTTTTTTCGAATTTTTTCGTCAAACCGTACAATGGCAGCGAAATTCACTCATATAAGTTGTTTATCGAAATATGTTTTTCACCTGTTACACACACACACATTTGAGATCAGATGAGGAATTTGTTAAAGTTCCCGATATAATCTCGTGTCAAATAAGCATATGTGGTTTATAGGTTATATTCTAATGATTTCCAACCATTGAACTACTAATTCACAAAATTATCATGATAGAATACATGATCGTATTATTAGTCTTCCTGTTGTCTACGATATACGTACTTGTATGACACGACTGGCTAAAACGGCAATACCTAATACAACAAACCAATAACTTAAACTAAACACTCGATGGCGTCGTTTCTCATAGGTACACTCTGCAAATGCCTATAGAAAGATGAAAACAAGATTCATTTTGAACTCGTAAAACGAATGAGCACTTGCATCCATTATTTGCTGGAGTAGAATGATAGTGATCGATTGAGCTGCTCCAGTAGCTAGACATGCAATACAAGCGGTCAAAATGAGTATCCATTCTGGTTTGTTCATAGATAGCAATCGCAATAATATTGGTCGCCTACATGAAGTCGAAGAAATCATCTAAACATATGCTAGCTTTAATAAAACATGTTAAGATAAGTATATTCTTAACCTTGATTGTGGACCCAGCAACAGTCTTGTCATGATTGAAAAAGCTGCAGTCTTCAGTTATTATAAATAAAACGTGTAAAATATTACTATAAAATATATTTGCATACATGTTTCGTTTTGATCTTGTTCAAATTGCACTTCGTGCACTGTTTCATCAACTTCATTTTCTATTCTTTCTGTTTGTTGAGCTTCCATCATATGTCGATATTTACTGTCTTCTTCTGCCATCAATGTTGCGTGTGTACCTTGCTCAATGATATTTCCATTAGCGAAAACATAAATACGATGTGCATTTTGAATTGTTTTCAGACGGTGAGCAATTACGATCGTTGTGCGTCCTGTACATTATTGGTGTGAACTAGCATTAAAATAGAGAAAAGAATTGTTAACCTTGGCATGAATGGTCAAGTGCTTCTTGAACAACTTTTTCGCTGGCATTGTCAAGTGCACTTGTTGGTTCGTCTAGTAAGAGTAACTTTGGGTTTTTGAGTAGAGCACGAGCCAAAGCTATACGTTGTTTTTCACCGCCACTCAATTGTATACCTTGTTCTCCGACTATAGTTTCATATTGCTAAAAAGAAGAGAAGGGAATGAATAGATTTATAAATATGAACATTCAACTCAAACATGAGCTAATTTCATGATAAAGTCATGTGCGTTTGCTTGTTTTGCTGCTTGTTCAATCTCAATTTTTGTTGCATCCTTTCGACCATAATGAATATTCTCATAGATAGTCGTAGCAAACAGAACCTATTAAAATATGAACAAAAGATAATGAGTTCAAAGCTAATAAGCTTACAGGTTCTTGACCAACAACACCGATATTCTTTCGAAGTTCATTATGATTGCATTCAGTCATCGATTGACCATTGATTGTGATTCGACCTGATGAAAGTTCATAATAGCGAAGAAGAAGTGATAGACAAGTGCTTTTGCCTATGAACTCACGGAATAGTAGTTCATCGAATATATTGACATTTTAAAAATCTTACCAGAGCCACTAGAACCAACTAAAGCAGTTGTCTCACCAGCACGAGCAATCAGATTAAGATCTCGGAGAGCAAGAATATCTGGCCGAGTTGGATAAGCAAAATTGATATTTTCAAATTGAATATCACCGTTGATATCAATTGGTGGATGATCATTGACAGAGCCGCTCGATATTTGTTTTGGTTTAACGTCGTTTGTCTCACTCTATATAATGCAAACATATGAATATGAAACAATTCAGAAACAAGAATCATCTGTATAATTATTCGCCCAAATATTGAAGTAATACAGAATCTTTTAGCTGTTCTAATATTGAATATGGTGAATTTCAATGCTTGAATCCAAATTTTACCTTGCTTTTATCATAAATTATATACAAGAAAATCGGATTATATCTCCGATCAAAAACTATTTACAAGACAAGTACATTCAAATAAGAAAAGATCAAACATACATAAGAAGAAGTTTCTTTATGAATACTATACATCATCTAACCAACATTGAATAATGCTGACGCTGACAAGTTAGAGTATTCATTGACGAAATTCTTAGACTTATATAATGACCAAAGAAAAATATTTCGTACCTAGTCACATGAGTGAGCGATTATATGGTGAATACAGCGCATGCTCGAATCTTATCAAAGTGATTATCTTTGCTTTCGCTGTATCTGAAGAGTTTCTTTCAACCATTCAATGGACATATAAACAAAAACATGTTATAAGTATCTATTTGGGTCGAAATTAATGGAACATAGTAATTACGACTATAGAATTTCTGTTCATTAACAATCTACTCATCAAATTTTTCAAACAATATCATGCTCTATACATACAAATAGGATCATTTAAGGCTCCATATTATTTTTTTTGAAAATAATGCTTACCTCATCAATAAGTCGGAATACTGGTGCTAACCCACTTCGAGCTTCTTCCAATGCTTGAAGGAATGGAATAACATAGGAAAAATATGTTATTCTTCGTCCAATAATGAATATTATCTGCTCGATAATACATAACGCATACGGTACAATGATATTTTCAAAATGATAGGGGTGATTAACTTACCGCTAGAATATTATCAACATTTGAATTGTTATTATCTTTATCATGCCAGAGAAGAAAACCGAAGAAGAAACCGCCCGCATAAATAATGAATGATATACCAAAGATCCAACCGGAGAGAAGTCCAAATGCTATACCCTTCCGTACGGTAATTTTTCGACTTGCGTTGAGCTCTTTTTGATATCTATCAACGAGTTGCAACTTTAATATAGGATTTGAATTTTAGCACTATTTTGCCTGTAAAATTTCTTTCAATCAATCAACACAAAATTTATTTTTAACTTTTATTCTACTTGATCTGTCTCACTACCACGCAAAAATTCATCTCTCTAACACATGTCATTATCGCAAAACTCAAAAGAACGACTTTGAAAAAATGCTATTTTCTAGACTGAATGGTCTAGAATATGCAGAACGGTAAATATTTCATTTTATCTGTGTGTCTGTCTGTGACACGTTCTTAAAACCACTGTCTACTTCATGCTATCATATAGTTTCGTTTTTACCTTTTAATCTTGTGAAATTCTAAAACAAGAAAAAAAAATCACTGCCATCTTGATCAAGTTTTTGAGTTCAAATGTTCGACGAAAGAAAACAAGTTTTGTTCTTTATTTGAAAAAAGTATTGTTTTCTCAGCATTGATTAGTGACGAAAGACAAGTTAGTGCTTAATATCATCTGAAGATTTGATTCTACTGTGTGAAACTTTGTCTCTAGAGCCAACTTTTTGCGCTCTTTCGTATTAGATAATCAGTTTCAACATGAAACATTTTTGGCACTCGGCTTGACTGGTGGTTTCGTAGATCTTCTTCTCAATAATTTGACCATCTCATATAATAAAAGATCATAGTATACCACTATCCTAGAAACATGTTGGAAACTTAGAAGTAGTCTTACAATTTGACTATTGTAACTTGAGTAGTCCTCAAATTGTATGTGATTATGAGAGTTCGATATTATGAATAAGAAGTCGAATGAAGTAGCATGATAAAATGCGATCAGAATGAAAAAAGAGAGCTCTTGTGTCACACTCAAATCATGCATTTCTTCCTATCCGATTAGGCATTATGGGTAGTGAAACTAAAAAGGGCATTTATTCTGTCTGGGTTGTGAGTTTTTCCCTCTGTACCTAAAAGTTATTAAAAATTTAGGAATCCTCTTTGCATTCTTTGTGGGCTTAAAACTACAATAAAAAAAAGACAAACAGTCATTTTCATCGTTCTCTCATTTCAAACATGACAATTGTTATGAAATTGTACCATTTGAACATACATTACCTACCGCTGTTCCTCGAATTTCTGACCATTCAGAGAAAGTACAGTCCGAAGAGAACTGAAAACTTCTTGAATAATTTGTCCCGCTTTTGAGTATGTTTTAAGTTCATTTATTGTTTCCTTTGTTGTGAGCTGTTAAAATTTTAAAATTGTGAAAGCAATTGGTAGTAGTGGTATCATACCTTTGTAAACCCATATGAGCCAATGATAACAAGTGGTACGGTGCTCAAAAGGATCAAAGTTAGCTGCCAATTCATGACTAAGCTGAGAATAACAGCAATGAAAAAGGAGACCAATGATTCAATCAAAACTGATAGCTCAATTCCAACTGCTTTATTCAATAATTCAATGTTGCTAAGTTATAAATGAGTGATTATTGATTGTCAAATTTGTGAAAAAAAAAGACTTACGCGAACAGTTTTACATTGAATTGACCCGTTGCATTCATATCGAAATAAGTAATACTCTAAGAAAAAAAGAAAGAAACTTTTCTCATGTGCTACACTTGAAAGTTTTTATCTATGCAACGCTGATTTTTATACTGGCATACTCGTTGAAGAAGCAGCTGAAACAGGCGAATACGTATTCTAGATGTCTGCCGTCGAGCAGATACAGTAAACAACAAATATATGACAAATATAAGTACTAATTCAACTGAACCGATGACTAAAATTTCAAAAGATGGAAGCAACTCTTTTGCCAGTTATTCTAAGAAATTAGTTCATTCTACTTACTCAATAACCGATACAAATTGGTCCATATATCATCGTGAAACCTAGTAACATTTGATGATAGGTTCGTCATTATTGTGCTGTTTTCAAGAAGACATAATCTAAAAATCAATAAACGATGGATTACAAGAAAAGTTTTCAAATGATTGATACTTACTGATCTTCTAGATTGACATCACTTATGCTGACATTTAATAGACATTCACTGTTATTGCTAGTTATAGTCGATGCATTTTGCTTGATATCTTGACACTGTTTAGTATGCCATTCCAATGCAAACGCGGCCCAAAGTTGAGAGAAGACGATGACACGTGCGTTACAAGAGAGACTATAGGATATGACACAACATACGCCGACGAATATCATCAATAGATCGACCCAATCGGCAAAACGAAACTAATATAGTTTTAAATTGGATTTCATTCAAACAGGAATACGGGAATTTTATATACGTACCAACTGAAAATATCCAATTGGTGGCTCGACTTCCTTGTGGCTATTCCTATCATCAGATTTTTGCTTTTCATTTCTACCATGTTTAAAACAAAACCATCTAGACCAAAAGCAAAATCTATATGAAATATACCATAATTACTCTTGCTTATCTCGAATATAATCATTTTTTTATATCATACTTTCTGCACAATGATAATCCCTGGGTCTCATTATCATGATTTCTTGTCGCCCTATGGCCAGTTGTTGTGTGAGGGTTTTCATTATTCATAATGAATCTATAACACTTGTTGATCTAAAACAAATTTGAAGATATTATGTATACAGAGAACAACGATGAATGATTGATGAATTACTTTTGATGAGAATATTTTGTTACTGTTCTTTATTTCAATGTGAACAACATAAAATGACGAAAATGATAGAAGCTTGTAAACGAAAAGTACACCAGCTACACAGAATCAATAAAGGCTGCACAGAGTTTTTTCTAGGTAGCGACAGGCAGCAGGATCACAGTCTAAAGTTGTTAACAAAGGAAAGCCTGTAAACTTCTGTCTTTGATTTAAAATTTTACGATGAATTCACACAAATTTTTCTCTTGGAAAAATTTTTCTAGTTTATTGAGAAGAAAGAAATTTTCTTCTGCAATTGCTCTAACAAAACGACCAAACAAACGATACAAACGTTGTCAACATACAAAGAAGTGCAAATATGTTCTAGCGTGTATAACGAAACGAAAGACAACTTGCTGTGTTTTAATAATAATTAACATCATTTTGTAAAGAAAATTTAAAAAAGGTCTACAGACTTGTCTATGATAAAGGTAGAACAAAAAATACTTGCACACATGCACATCCGATGAAATTTGATTTTGGTAAACAAGTGTAATAACGTCCTAGGTTGCTCACAATCATACTCTATTGCATGCTTCATTTTCAATTAGGTTAAAAAAATATGCAAATGAAAATACTTGCGTCTCATTTAATGAAACAATTTATGAGATAGCAATCATAAATTAAAATTCTCCTTGGGGAGCAAAACCAAGGTATGAAAATGAAGAAATAATTACTTATGATGTTTACCTATTCGTTCTTCTGTTCGAAGAGATTGATAGAGCTACGATTGATTGTATGAACCATCAAAAACAGGATGTACGAAAGGCAATATAGCAAAATATTGTAAATAACTAATATGCACCCAGATGAATGAATCTGATACCGAAACCGAGGATGTGGGTGTGGGCGTAGTGAGGATGTCGGGTGTGGGTGGGTTAAAAGCAGAGCGACACTCACCCACACCCACACCCACCCACACCGGCATCCACACCTACCCACACTGGCATCCATACCGACCCACACCCATACTCATACCCACACCCTCAATTAATGAAAAAAAAACAAAAGTTTGGAAATAAAAAAGATTCTCAGAGAATTGACAAGAGTTTAAATGTTTTCAAAAGATTTTATGAGATTTCATAAGTCTCTGACATCTCCGTCTTGATTTCATGGGGTTCCATCGGACTTCATTACATCATTTCACAATACAGAGGATTTCAAGAATTTCTGCAGACTTCGAGAAGTCTTATGGATGTTATCAGACCTAACGGAGTATGATACAATTTTTTAACTTCATTGGGTTCCATACGACTTTGAAGAACTTCATTGATTTTAATAGAATCGAAAAAACAGCTAACACTTCAAAGAATTGTTTTCAAATTCTAATAGAGTTCGTGAGATTTCCAGTCGTTTTGGCTGTCAGAAAAAACATAGCAACAATGTAAAGATAAAGGACGAAACTACAGATTTCAAGAATTCAAAACTTCAACACACCTCAAAAGACTTGATACGATTTCGTTAGATCATAGGAAACTTCAGAGAGTTTACAGAGATTTCTTGAGACATAACCGGATTTCATCAGACTTCGTAGGGTCTCAGTAGGTTGCACCAGGCTCATTTCTAGTTTCGGAGACATCAGCGGACT